TGAACGGTGTCTTATTCCTGCGGTTTAAAATAAATGACTTTTGTGAAAGAACACTTAATCGAGTATTTCTTTATCCCACTCTCGCCAAGATAGGAAAATCTTTCCCTTTTCAGAGAGTTTAATATTTTATATATTATGTAACTGAAACCGCACTTTTTTATCTGTAGTGAAATGGTAAAAAATTGGAATTAATGTTTGAAAAATGCTTTTCTCTGATTTAAACAGCTTTAAAATGAACTGGGCCATCCTGTTTAAATATTGCAGACAAGTAGAACGGATGAAGATCAATGAAACATCCACAGTCAATAAACTAGGCTTCCGCGGATTGAGACCAAATATTATAAGATATTTATCTCTGAGTCGGCTCTATAGTGAAAAATCTTTGAGATTTTTTGGTTGATTGGTTTTTTTTTTTTTTTTTTTTTTTGCCGCAGGACTGTGAGGTAAAAGTGCCGTCTCATGCAAGTGATGGGTCTGCATATTAAGAGATTAGCTCTTAGTAGGTATACTGCGCCGAGATAACATCAACTTAATCTCCTCAACTACTTAAGGAATATAACACTCAAGCAAATAGAATTACCATGACACAACGCTGATGAAAAATGCATATCTACGCTAAATTTCCTCGGAATACGGTAGATTTATAAATACGGTTTGTCCCTGCATTAGGCAAATACAAGAGATCCTTGGCAAATACTGATAATGTTAAATCTTTATTTTTTTCAAGATCCAAACTGTTACTGCCGGCGAGAGCCTCTCTTTTATTTACTCAGCCACGCCCTGGCTTCCTATTTTAAAGAGATACAGCTGAAAGAGGAACTGATCATCCAATGCGATAAATGTTTTTCTCATAGGCAATCGGTCTTTCAAAGGAAAATACAACCTAAATAATCTATTTTGCATTGTATGATAATCAACTTTGAATTATTTTTTTAAGCAAGATACGGTTAACTGTAATATGATGTAGCATTTATGTGTTGCAAAATTGGAAAGAAGAATATGATGTCGGTTTTCTATTGACTAGAAGGAGATTTTACCGTGATCAGCCAAAAGTAAACGAGCTATTATATTCAAAGAACTTTATTGATAATATCACCCTGTGATATCTGCATTAATTTTCCTGCGATTTCACTTTTCTGCAAAAAGTATAAACGATTTGCTTCTGATGGAAGAGAAAATAAAGTAAGATGTTTGTCGAAAGAACAATACGTACAGAAGGCTACACTATCTATTTCGTTCAAAGTTTAAAAATTGATTTTTTTCTTCAACAAAAAAAGTGACACTTGTTTCATACACGCAGCTTTACAATTTCCCTGTTAATGTTCAAAAAGGCGAAAAAAGGAATAAATTTAAAAAACCTTTTAAGAGAGATTAGCATTTAGTTTAATTAATTTCGTAACCGATTGCTGTCGCCGAGAATTTGATCCCCAGGCACTTGCTGATCTTTGCAGGGGTTCCAATAATTAACTTTTTCCATAAGCGACTGCCTGCTTATGGTGTAGCAGGCAGTTGTGCCCCGAAAAGGCGCCGTAAAGCGAAAGCCAAACACGAGAGCGTGCCCACTGGCTAAACAGAAGGTGGTAACGGGTCCAGCGGGCGGCAGTAGACTGCTGGTAATCAGCTTTGACCGAAATCACTGATTTCAGCGACATATTTATTACACATTCAAAATATTTTATTTCGACATGATATGAACTGGTCGTTCACCTTGCTGTTTCGAGCCTAGTCCAAGTAAGTCTTTCGGGTCTTTCACTCAGTGCAAAAGTTTGACAATCATGGCACAAAGCTGTTGCCAAAATTTCTTGTTTCACTCCCTGTAAAATATATGCGCTCATGTTTTTATAAAGTTTTTTTTAATTTTCCTTTCCACATTTGGGTCTTAGATGATATCTTAGCCACTTCAGTGACGCCAGTAGCCTGAGAACGTGTATTTTAATTAATTTATCGTGTATAAAATTCATTGTTTAATTTTTGATATACACTGATCGAATAAGTACCCGCTATCTGGCTAAATGTGCCTTTCCAGAAATTTTCCATAAGTCGCTCAGACAGAACTTATTTTTCAATTTTATCACTTTTTCCCTAGGCCCACCATTTCAAACAATCAATTAAAGAAGTTGTATCAACTTATCAAATAAATATGGTAGAACATGATTTGGAAAAGTAACTTAAACGAAACTGCGGAGACTTTTCGATTCTTCTCAAGACAACTGCGGTATTTACTTAAAGCTAAGTGCAATTCCAAACACATTAGCAGCAGAATTTAAATGGACTTTTGTCCTCGACACAGCCATCAAAAAGAGCGCCATTTGGCTGCAATTACGACGGGCTTGTCAGTGGGCGAATTTATGTTTGTGTCAAATACGATTTAAGCCATCCACTCAAGTAAGATGCATAATACTTATCCAAGGTAATAATTATCTCAGGGTACTTTAAGGTGTGGGAAGTGTTCGTATTGTGTTGGTAAACTACCGAAGCGAAACAAGAAATTTAAAGCTCACCACAAGAAGTCTAGTTGAATCGCTGATAACGTAAAAAAAAAATAAACAAATAAAAAAAAAACCTTTTTGTACCCAATGACTTTGTTCTCGCCTAGTCATATATCCAGCAATTTTCCTACCAGCGGGGACGTTCTAAAAGTTGAATGCTGTGAGATAAATGCATTTTTTCTGTGTATGGCAGTTAGATCAATGGAAATTTGCAAGAATTAGTGAAAGACATGTTAGGTCACGTTTATCCAATCCGTCTCTTTTTCGCTCCTTAAATAATTTTATTTAATGGTTGGGTTAGGGCAGGGGGTATCTTGATTGTATTCTACCATGTATTTCGCACCTGTTTGGTTTATTGAAATATTTATGTGCCATGCAAATAAAAAAATCTTTATTTACCTTGGAAAACTTTAATTATCTTCGTTAAGTAGACAAGTTACATTCTGCTTTTTCCTCCTTGCCGTGACGAGAGTTGTTTGGCATGGGCCAAAAATTTTCTTAGCTGTTTACAAGAACTTTTTGTTATCGATAGAATTTCGTTTTTGTTAATGTTGCTCAACAAAACGTTTTCATCATGCACTCTTTCACATAGCTTCACATATTCTTGAATTATATCCATTTCGAACTGGTTCCGACTTGGAGGAAAATTTTCCCGTCGGTAAACCTCTACCGCCAGTTTTATGTGCTAAGGCCGTGGGAGGTTTGTGCACCTCGTGTTGTGTCTTTCTTCTTCACAACACAGCAACGAAAAGCGTCAGATTTCGATTCGCTAACGAGCTTTTATACAGCTTCTCTGCAAATGACAGAAAATTATGGACCCTCTGTCTTGCTGATGAGTATAATACTGATTGCGGAAATTTTATCTAGATCGTGTTTTCTATTTTCAACACCACATTAGATAACATGCCTGCTTACAGAAGTTCTTTTCATAAAAGGCAAATCGTTCAAGATGTTGCTGCGATATGTCCCAGTTTGTCTTGCGTCCACGACACTAAGTGGCCGGCTTTTGTCTCTAACGAATTTTCAGTTGCAACACAAAGCATTGTTTACATTTAAGGGGGCGCTCTCGCATGAATTATCTTCCTGAAAAAGCGCAGCTGGACTTTGTACGTCACAGAATGCGCTTAAAATCGTTTCCACCATTTGAGAACGACGAGTACCAGTACAGACTCTCGCATAACTCCGCTTAATTGCTGGTATTTTGACTGCGAAAAAAACTACCTCAGAGATAAAATATTGTTCTTTATACATTGTTGATCTGTTCCACAAAGGAATCATATATGGCAGGAAAAAGAGAAAGCTTGGAGCGGAAAGCGAATCGAGACGAAAACTGGGCAGCACCTGCACAGCAAAATCATGATGACTCGAGGCAAACAGTTCTGCTCCTTGGAGAAAATCTTCACGCGCCGAACAAAAACGAGCCACGCTACATTGTGGAGTCCGACAAAATAAAGGTATGAAATTCAGTTGTCGCCATTAATTTTGGCCGTTGTTGGAGAGACATTTATTTATACGAACATGCTATGAGTACTTTAAATGGCCATGTAAACACAACAGTTGCAGCTCTAATAACTTTGGGTAAATCAAACTAAAATATGTCAATTCTTGACCACATTGTCCTTGACAGAGTCACTCTAAAGAAACAAATGAAGGCCTTCCATGTTTTCAGCTCTGAATATTTTTCTAAGCCGACACTTTCTTTATTATGGACCCTTTAAAGCGGATTTTTATAGTTTTTCTCACTATGAGAGATGTTTTCGCTTCGTTTTCGTTTACCTACATGGTGTTTTAAGAAATAGCGCGTATGTGAAGTGCAATCCAAGATGAAGGGCTGGAACTCTTTTTCCAGTGAAGTAAAAACCCAATACCGGCGTAGAAACATGATAAAAACTTTCTTGTACGTCACTTTTTGTTTGGTAATCGATATCAAACCCGCTACAGCTGTTTCCACCTTTTGAGTTCAAATCTCTTGGATTCAAACAGTCTTAGTTCTTTTTTTTTTTTTTTCTCGAAGGTTTGCTTATTATCTCAAAGCCGAAAAGTTAAACGTTAGGGTTGTTCAGGTACAACTGCTGTTTTCTTTTTTTACGAAGTAGGATATTTTTCCAACCAGCAACCAAACAATCGGACCAAAAGATTTATTCAAATAAAATTGCACCTAACAAAATTGGGTAGCTAGAAAGCTAAATATTATCTTGCGAATTTGCAGAAAAGAGATTTTTAACGAACCGTGATAAATAATTCTTCAACGTGGGTTGTTTGTAACCTCGGGGAAAGATTGTAATAGAAACCTGTTCTGGCAGCGCAAAATCATCAAATAAATATTTAAACTTCGTTTTTTTGAATTCTTTCAACTGTAATTGAAAGGTAAAAATGGAAATTCAGAGAGCATTTTCAGTCAAAATACATTTCGCTCGTCACGCAGAAGGATAATCTCAAACTTATCATATGAATATAGAGTTTTATGAAGTAAAAATTTGGAAAAATATACATTTATTGAAATACATTTTAAATCCCCAAATTTCTCTTTCTTCCATGCTGCAGGCTGTTTATTTTTTCTCCAGCTGTAGTGCCAAGTTGTTCTCTCTTCAAATAATTGATCCAAAATGCAAATTTCCTTCTTGCAAAGAGTGCTATTAAGAACAGACAGTTGAATAATGATTGAGAATTTAAAAAAATAGTTAATTGCTAAAGCTTCTTAGAGGTCAAAAATGAAATCTGGAAAGTGTTCAATCTTTTAGCAATGTTGAATTTAGGGTTTGGCTCCGTACCAGAATTAATGTGACTAAAATTAATGCAATACACAGTTTATTGTAAATGTAGAAGAACTTATCGCTGGAAAGGGTTTACCCGTAATTGTTACGAGACACGTAGTTATCACAAGTATGTTTCATTATGATGCCGTTTCCTTAACGAAATAATTTATTTTTCCTTGAAATGACTACTATCTTTTGGGGTTTTTAAGCCAAGATAAATGTTTCAAAGCAGGCAAACAAATTTAGGAGGCTACAACTCTGATTGTTTACACTCTATGTTGAAGGGATGACAGCTAAATTTTAATTAATTGCTTGAATCATTTGCTCCATTTAAAAACGAAAAATGTTTTAGCATGATTATAGAGTTCTTTTTACAAAAGCCCTCCTCAACCCGGGGCAGACGATCGTTTCCATGCTGAAAAGAGATATGAGTGCTAAATTGTATATTTTTTGACTTTATTTAACGATGCACTCTCAAACACTAAAATCTCGTAGTTTTTGTGTTTTGTATTTCTTATGAGAAAATATTGGCAAAATTTTTGTCGCTTTTGTTGCCACGCACAATGAAAACAAAGTAAGCTTCATAATAGTCCCAACAAAACGAGACCGTGGGTGATATTTTGAACACGCGTGTTTTTCTTTTCCTGTTGACATTTTCTTGTTATCGTGCAAAGTTTGATAAACGCCACCGGGCGGAGTAAATACGACACAAGTTTATTATCAAAATGCGGTTCATTTTACTAATTCATTCTTTCAGGCTGAAGAGGTTAATAACTCGGATTCTGAGACACAATTCTCTGCCACTAGAACGTATTACAACACAGGTAGGACTGGGGTTGAAAACCACCAACAAGCTTTCCAATCCTCCGCAAACCAGGGTAACCACGGGCAAATTGCCCACGCACCTCCGACTCAGGGGTTAGGGAGAGGGGACCAAAATCAGAATTACCCCTCATGGCCAGCACCGCGTGGTCTTATCGGCGTTATACCTCCCAGGGAGCTAAATATGAGACCAGGGGAAGACGATGCAGACAACTCACCGAACTATCGCCGTATGGCTGTTTGCCAAGAGACAGACGGTGCTTTGGGCCAGAGGACAAAAATGCGCGTCTACATGAAGCGTTTTTGAAATTTCAGAAATGATGTCTTCGAACAAGAGGAAGTTGGATTCAGATGCAGTATTGTGTAGCGATCAGAAATTCATATAGATTCGTCTTTGGTGATGCATTTAAACTCGCGAATCTTTCGTTGACAAAACTGTTACCGTCAGCGAAAGATTAGTCAAGGATCGTCTCATTTCTTCTTATAAAGCCTTTCGTTGATTTCGTCGCAACTAATTTTAGTGCACCTGTTTGTCTGAGTTTGACACTCCCTTTTAAGCCAGACATATCTACTGATCTTATATTAGCCTACGGTTATTTGAAACAAAAGTTCATTGTTACGATTTATTAGCAAAGTAAGCTTAAGTTGGCCTGAAAGAAACCATTAGGAAAGTTATGTTGCGCACGTCAGAGCAAGTGATTCGAACCCTTGTTTACGGGCGCTCAACTTAACTTTTATCCTCGTTTCATGTCGCTCGCAGTCTTTCCTCAAAAGATAACTCTGAAAGAGGCTCGTATGGATAACCCACGATTTGGCCCTCCCTTTCATAAAAGAAAGGAACCTTCGTGAAAGCAGAGATCTAATTACCCTCCCCTAAATGTGTAGAACACAAGGTCAACCGTCCAATGATCACCAGACAGTGAATTAGAGGTCTGAACTCAATGGTCGTGCAAGTTTAGGCGGTTTTACCCAGTCTAACTTGCCACTGGACAAACTTTAACACCGCAGTGAATGTTTTCATACTACTACAGATGTATAAAAACACAAACAGGCGAAAAGGGTACAGAAAGTAGAACCGTCGCAATTGAGCTAAATTTTCAGAGTGCTGGCCATACTGTATAACTGTATGGAGGCGTCATTTGTATTGCCCGAAAATATCCATGTTCGTGTGGTTGTCGTTTTAGGAAATAAATAAAAAGAAAAAACTGTTGCACTGGAAATTTGAGGTTTCAAGAGGCATAAAAAACAACCATGGCAGTTCTATACGATCGCATGATTGTTATCTGAAAAGGTGTGTCAAAAACAGTTCAACAAAGTTGGAATCTAGGGTTTCCAGCAACTGCACGCGTAATATTAGTGAGCCTTTTACGCCTGAATATGAGGTCAACCGAAAAGAAAACACTGTGGAAAAGATTGCCAAACGGCGACAGATTCGAAAGTTTACGAATGCTCAGATATAGATCTTGGCGACGTTCCATTCTATTACGCAATGTTTTGCGAAAAAGAAAACAGAGATCTTAAAAGTAAGATTTATGATTGATGGCTTTTAGTGACCATGGAAAGCGAAAATATAAAAATGTTCTGGAAAAACATTACGCTGGCACGCGCGCAAATATTGAGCAAAATCACTATGGGGCCCCCTTAGAGTAGAAGAAATTAGTGATGATAAATTGACTTGGGTTCGATTTCCTCCACCATTTTCACGAGCGTGGGCTCATTTCCCGGACCGCAGTAAGATATCGTGCCCATCAATAATCTGAGGGACACTAAATCGACTCAAACAATCAACGAAGAAGAGTTGCTGTACAAAACTTTATTCACATATGAAGACAAGCAATTATTAGAGTAAAAAAGACTGCGGGGAAATTCTTCCTCTGCTTTCCCCTCGCATGCAGAATGATTCAGTTACGATAAACAATTTGAATTGGGAAAATTCAATACTGTGGCAGGGACGGATCCAGGGATATTGGATTGGAGAGGGCTCACACTTATTCAAACAACACGAAAATCTCTTTTTCAAAACTAGAGGCTAAACAAGCTCAGAAATTCATTAGTAAATTTCAAACACTTCAAGTTGAGTAGCGATAAGCAATCTTGTCGTTTGGGGGAATTTTATGTTCACACAAGTAGTTATAATACCCGCACAAAGAGGGATATAGAGTTCGGGACCCCCCGTCCTCTCCTTGGATCCACGCTTGCACTAGAGTGTTTTTTTGAATGAAGAAAATATTTGTTTGACCGCTTTTCTTGGCGTAGAAATTCTGCCTTTTCGAGCTTCAAAACCTGTTCTACAATAAGTTAGTAGCCTACGTATGTGGCGGTTTTTATTTCTTTGAGTGTTTGATGAAAATAAAGGCGATGGAGTCGCGTAAATGGTCAGCCCAATCAAAACCGTCAGTCTGATAATTCAGCCGTGTTTGTAACGCAAAGCCTAATGATCAGGTACTAGCAACACAGAGAGTTTTTGGTCAAGACTTAACAATGAATCGTCTGACAGCAATGATCGCTCGTAAAAAACGTCAAAAGAACGACCAGTTTAACTATGTAGTGGCCAAGCACGATGGCCGCACCAACTTCATTCCAACTTCTCCCCCCCCAAAATTCGGCACTGTTCATGAGCACAATATAAACCCGGGATCTTATCAATGTTTTAATATCACGCTGTTTTAGCAACAGGATGCGACTGCAAGTTGGGACGTTGCACTCATTTGAGAAAAAGACTGGACACTAGCAGCATCTCTTCAAGCTGAAGCTACGTTGAAAATAAAATATTTTCAATTTACCAACCCTTCCGAAGACGCAGGACAAAAAAGATCAAAAAAAGGGAGAACTTTGATTTGGTTCTGCAATTAATCTTGGTTGAACGAGTAAAAAGTTAATTCACATAAAGAACATAAACCTGCCAATATTCGCGTTAGGCGTAGTCAGCCTTAGTACTCGCGTCTTCAATCACGGTCCCGACATTGCGTCCTAAGCACGCGCATCCTGTTGCTTAATAAATCTAAGATCAACGTATGAACAGATCAATATTTAGAGTTCTGTGCCAGTTAAAAAAGGCTGGGGAAACAGGTGCGGACATAGCCTTGGTCGTACAGTCTTAGCATACCGTACCTTACACAAAAACAAAGTTCAAAAGACCTGCTTTGAACCAGATACTCGAAACTTATCACACGATACATGAACATATCTATAACTTCGTCTGAACTTAAAAACTTTATAGTAAATGATTCTGAAATACGATAACAGAAAAAAAAAATAAACACCAACCACGAAATTTGCCAATGATCTTGCATAGGCATCTCCTACTCAAAAGAAATTGGAAAAATTTCTCCTCTTCACCACAAACACGTACAGAAATGATCATAATCTTGTGCACACGGCTGAAAGGAAGAGAGTATAAGTTCGATTCTCGCCGATTGCTGTGCGCGATAGGGATCTCACGCTTTCCCTTCCCTTACATTCACCTTGAGCAAGAGTCTTGCCTCCAAACGCAAAGAGAGCAGATCTTGCTATAGACGAGCCAATAGGGGAAGCTTTTAGACGAACCAATCGGACAAGCTTTTAGATAAGTGTCAATAAGAGTCAAAACGTTCTCTTTACGAAGAGCCAGAGATATAAAATTCGAAGAGCCAGAGATATAAAATTCGAAGAAACATTTTATATTTGTGAATAATATCTAGGAGCGATGCGATTGAGACTAGTCAGCGCTTAACTTCTTTTAGGGGCAGTATTTGAATGGATTAAATAATTCTAACCGTGCTGAACGACTTGTAAATGTCCCTAAAAGAGTTGAGATTGCCACAATTTCGCTCAGGAATGTTGTTTAACTAAACCAAGATCGGATCTCAGACATTTCCAACATTCGTAAGTCAAAAAAACCCGGTCAAAATAGTAAATTTATATAGAAATATCTGATACTGCCTAAATCAAACTTCTCATCAATATTAAATGACGGCTACTAAAGTGGCGATAGTTCACAAATATCCGTGACCTTACTTTTTTTAAACATTGAAAACTATCTTGTAAAAAATGCTGTTGGCCTTGCATTCTGTCAACTAACAGGGTAGCATGTATTTTTTTTTGATACAATGAACAACAATTAAATTAAACAAATCTCTGAAATGCCCCTAACTACAAAATATGCACGCGTAAAAAAAGCGATATCCCGACCTGTACATCAAAATAAATTCCTATGTTATGGAAGTGATCACCCTCCCATCCCACAATTAACAATACAACAATGGCTAAGGGATTCACACCTACAGTACATTAACCATTTCACTCCCAAGATCTCATGAGTAATTCTCCTCACTGTCGGCCATACCCTTCTCATAATGTTGGTTCAGGGAATTTAGTCTTAGATCAACCAATAATCCCCTAACTGATGTTTTTCTTATTCTCCTCACTAGTCTGTTTGACATTGTGTTGATACCGTAAGGAGAAATTCTGTCTTGATTACTCATGGGAGTGAAAGGGTTAACTAAGAAAAGCTACAAGTGAACAAGTACACCACACACCTCAAAGCTCACCTGATTGCGATGGAGCTCGCATCGCACATGCCTAGTATATTTTTCGACCTCAAGCTAAAACGGTCATATAATCTTCTGTTTTTTCCGAAATTCTTTTAAGACTAATTTTTCTCTACTTTCCAATTCTTTGATATAGATAACTTTCCCTAGGTCTCAGGAAAGACAATTTTTTTTGCAGACTTTCTATGAAATGAAAAAGACATATTTAATAATAATCAAGGAAAATACATCAAAACCTTCAAGATGCAAAGACATGCAAATATGTCTCTTCACGAATATTCGATATCGATGCCGGTGAACATGAACGTTGTAGCGATTGTTGTCATTATTATTCAAGCTCACAAAAGAAAAAACAAAAAAAAAATTTAGGTGAATCCTTCTCAGTGTGTGACTTAAGCAATCATGCAGCAACGTGACGAATTGGGATTGCGTGACATTTCAAAAGGGGTGAACAGGACTAACCTTTACTTAACCCTTTAACTCCCACAAGTGATTAGCATGAAACTTCTCCCTAAAATATCCTTACATTCTTCGGCAAACAGTTTATGAGAATATTCAAACTTATCAGGTGGAAGCTGCCATCTTGATCTAGCACCAAGTTCTCATAACTAATTTACAAAGAAATGTATGGCAGCTAGAGGGGAGAATTGACAAGCAGATCTTGGGAGTTAAAGGGTTAAGCTCGAGCAAACATTGAACTTCAACTGAACAACAAAAATACAAAGGCCCATTTTTAAAGTGTACAAATAGTTATCAAATTAGCTAATACTAAACCAGCCACCTGAAAAATCGCGTCAACGACCATGCATTTGGATGGGGGCCCCGGGGTACGGTGGCGGATCCTCGTATCCGTTGTATCCATGCCGGGGGTTTCCTCGGTTGCCTGGCTCCATCTGTCGACCTCTCTGGTTAGGTCGGTTACGTTGTTGTTGACGGCGGAGTGTGAGCTGACGATGTGGCTTTCGGTTCGGGTTACTGCTCGGCGTGTGAACGCTGCAAACCTTGATGAAGCCTAGCGGTAAGGAAGGACGATATAACGTGTAAGTTGTCAGAAAGAGGAGTGATTCACTTAAGACGCCGCTTTATTGTAAACGTGTTAGTAATCTGGCCGCATACGTCAAACCACAACGCGCGTTTTACCGACAGCTAGCACCCTAATTATCGTTAAAAATAATTATTTGAGGCTAGAATGCTTCTAATCCCCAACTTTTCAAACATGTTAGCAACATTTGAAGACAATTTCGAAAGTTTGAGTTCCTCTCTAGGATCTTAAAACCGGTCAGAGTTCTAATTTCTTACAAACTTTTGAATTGCGGAGACATCCCTTTCATTATTTTGAAGCATACTTCTCAGCAGCACTGAATTCTATAAAACATATTTGGAGAGGCAGAGATTTAACTCGTTCACTGTACCTGCCATGAGAAGAATGAGACCTACACCCATAAGCACCACCGCCCACCAATACTCTTTGATCCAATCTAAGTATCCCTTGATGGCCTCCTTGCTGAAGAACTTGTTCTTTAGACGTGACAAAGGCCCGTCTGCGTCCACCGCGCGGCACTTAAGGAAAACATCACAGTAACCATTGAAGTCATTGCACGGCGCGCCGGGAAATTGTTTCAGATTTTTTCCCTTCTTCATTTCTTCAATCTCACTGGCCGGCAAGCATGTGCCTTTTTCACCGTCTTTGCAGCACAAATCACAGAGATGATCTTCTTGTGTACACTGGCACTCCAACTTGTTGAACTTTAAGCAAATTGAACCGCTGCATTCCTATACAGAAACAGTAAAAAAAAAAAAAAAAAAACCACAATAATAATCACACAGGTTAACAAGCTAGTTTACCATGTAGACAGAACTTCTCAACCGAGCGTTTTACTGCACTCTACTACTGTTTGCGGAATTCGAGCATGCAGAACTCCGAGCGTTGCAGCTGTAGAAACGTGTCAAAAAACTGTATGGGAGTTGTATAATCTAACTGCGGAATAAGGATAACAATTACAGAAGGAACATTGTACTCAGACGAAAAACTCAAGTACGGTAGTTTTAGTCTGAACAGCCCATGATATATCTTCAATCAATGCGCAGAAAATTTGTTTCGAAGGAATTTCGACAATTCATGTCTGAGAAGAACTATCTGAAAAATACCTAAGTTTGATTTTTTTTTAAAATTTTTATAATTTCCTGATTTTCTGTCGGTGCAGCCGAGACCAGGACTAGGACCGAGGCCGCTAAAATTAGAAGGGAACACATCTTTGTTCACTGACTGACAAGATCAGTTAACCAGTTTAATATTTTTTATAACTTTTATGAACATTTCATCACCAAATAAAGGATGCAATTACTGAATTGGAAGATAGGGCAGGACAATGCAGTCTAATCATGGACTTTCTTCACGAAAAGACCAGCCTAACCTGCTAAAGTTCTGATAAAGGTAACCACCCTACCTCGAAACTCCTACTCAGTAGCACAAACGAGAACTCTAAAACTTACTCCCTGAAGGCAAACTTGTCTTTCGTTGTTACACAAGGTGAGATTCGCTTTAGGGTCCGGAGCAGGACAGGTAGCATTAATTCCACTTTGAAAAAAAAAAAACATTAAGGAAAATACCAACAACAAACATAAACAACAAATGCAATGTGTTGCTGCAGTGTTGCTCGGAGTTCTATATAATCTGGAGTAAACAAAACTTACAAGACTACAGCGTAACATCGTTTGCCTCCCTTGTCAATAGTGTCATAAAACTAAAAATTCCTGGCATGAAGGTACAGCTGAGGGAAATCCATGGACGAGTGAAATGGGGATGAGTAAGACGAAGGTTTTCTATGTCCTGATTGGCTAACCACGGGGACGGCCTTTCTTATTCATGTGAAATAAATTGCTTTTTTTTTTTTAAATTCAATTTTTCATTCATGAGCATTTTCCCTCCACCCATGACTGCTTTCTTTTTTCCTATGAAATAAGTTGCTTTAAGCCAGCTTTCGGCAACACTTCACCCTTTGGCCCCCGAGGGTGGGTGGGGTGACTAGCATCAAATTTCTCTTGAACCAAGATTATAATCATGACAGTAAAGGAAACGAGCACCTTTTACAGAAGCTCTTGATTGACACTTAACTTCTCCTTATAAGGAAATGTATGGAATGTGGAGGGTGCAAAGGGTTAAATATATACATGTAAGCTTGTCCAGTCAAAATGACCTAATGTTGGCCTAGTGTTGGGCCAATGTTGGCCTAATGTTGGCCTAGTGTTGGCCCAATGTTGTTCTCCCTTGCTGCTTTGGCTTTCTATAGTTTCTCAACTTTGTTTACATCCATGACAAAGCAGGATAAAATAAAAAAAGGAAAGAATAAAAAGAAAAGAAAACACTATCCACCCATTTGGAACTTAAGATTAGTCAATGATGCATTTGAATGAACCTGGTTCTTTAATGGTCAAAGGTCAATTGCTGCTCATCCAAAACCCTCCTTTTGAAGAACCAGGACAACATGCCGTGAGAAATGGAATGGTTATGGAAATAAAGTACAACGTTGAATGCACACATGTACAGAAAGGATACTTGCAATAGGAACGGTTGGCACACTCTGTCTCATTAAGACACAACACAGTTTGTTTGTGTGGAGTGCAATTGTAACTGCAGCAAAGACCTTCACTTGGGCTGGAAAAGAACACAAATATGTATTTAACATGCTCTTTCTCCTTAAGGGTGACTGTTATAGCAATTATCTCTTGATCAAAGAGGTTGATTCTGTAAGAGAAACTAGAATATGACAGCCTAAACAAATGAAAGTCAATTCGTAACCTTTTATTAAAAAGCTCCTGTGAACTATCTACAATGTACCACAATGAATAAATTAATGTGTAGAGTTTTGCCAGGGAAATACAACCTCATCTAATACACCCAACTCAAAAACTTGTGGGCCCTAATTTAAAATTCCTCATCAGTAACACTAATTCCCACAAAAAGACACAGCACACTTAAGTCATAACTGGATTAGCAGAAAACATCATCACAACTGTTCTTGAGCTTACTGCCAGGGCTTCTCCTAGTTTCAGTTGTACAGAGGGACTAGAGGGCCAGGGATGTTACGTATGAATTCCAGGTTAAACCCCTGAATTCTCTCAGGGTCACTTGACAGTTTAATGGAGCCCATCAACATTTACCTTCCAGAATAATCTACAGTGCAGACAGGAACTGAACCTGTACTTTTAAAGTACAGTAAGCTACCCATTTAGTCACTGTGTGTCTTTGCAATGAAATAAATAAGGTATTAGGAAAATGTTAAGCTGACTCAATTCAAATGATCAGAGAAATGACAGTTTCAATTTAATTATATTTCCAGGTGTGTAGTACAAAATGAAATTTTCAGCTAGTTTTTTAGAGAATGATCCATGACCATCAAGCAACTACACAACCATGATTCAAATTTGTGGGTAACATTTTAGTAATGAGATGTATGTTAAACAATAAAATGATTAACCAACCTGCATGTTGCATTTTTCCTTCGCTTACAGCCACTTCCTTTGCTTTGAGTGTCACGACCCAAACAACATGTGTCCTTCTTACATGAATCATCAGTTTTATAACCACAGTCACACTCCTCCCCATCTTCTGTAACCTTGTTGCCACAGATGGCTCCCTGAGCCTCTGAAATGGACAAAGGAAAAAAATTCAACACCAAAGTGCAAAAACCACTCATTAAAGAATAGCTGCTGTCCTTGGTCAAGATAATTTGATTCACAACAGGCTATTGTTGTACTTTACATGTTGAAGAACATAATAACTCATTCTTTCAAGTTCTACACTTTATAGGATATAAAGCTGCTCAGCTCTTATCATTACACAACTTTTTTCGTTCAACATTTTCTTCTTATTTTCTTGGTAGAGTGCACTGAAATTCCAAGTATTTTGCATTTCACGAGTAACAGAAAAAGATGTTTTGTAGATGAGATGCTATTCTTTGAAGCTTTAACTTTTGAGATGAAGTACTGGTATTCATCACTATCAGTAATCCAGGAGAGAGAAAGCTTGTCAATTTAATAGAAAAACTCTACAGCTGCTTCTGCCAAATTCCAGCTCTTGTATCCCTGCTGCTACAACCTACATGTACAGTTGTATGCCAGAATATACAGGTCTAAATCTAAGCACAGTTGCTTATACATGTAGCTGTACATGTATCAAACTCTACCATGTTCCAGGTTGTTGACTGTACCCTTTGACTGGCCTTGAATTTATCTTTTATAGCATGCCACATGTGAAAGCCCCAAACATAACACACTAAACAAGGAGAAAATGCTGCACTATTTACCTCCAAAGCAACAGGAATTTTCAGTACATCGCCCCTTGACATTCATCACCTCGTTCATTTTTGTCCTGCTACATGGTGAAAAAAGTCTGTTGTTCTTTTGGTCTCCACTTGTAGCTCTTGCAAACATGATGTAATTCCCATCAGATCCTCCTGGGGCACATTCAGGAGTACTGTCGTGCTGGGAGTTTAAAAAGAAATGTTGTCAGACAACTGGACAAAAACTCCACACAGTCAAGTAGTTTTAAAGGTACATTCCATGCAGAAAAGGTGGGGGAATCCTGGCGCAGGGTGCCCAGTTTACAACATCAACACTTTAACTACTTAACATCCATGCTTTCTCATTCATTCTGACTGATGAACAGTAGGACTAAAACATTCAGAGAGTAATTTACTGTCAGTTATCTGGAACTTCACCAAGCTATTATTTTGGTTAACCACTTCCCCTCCCTCACCCCCTACAGTAAATAAAAAGTTTGGGTATCACCATGACAATCTGGCAAGCACCCTGGTGTGAAACAGCACGACACCTCTTGAAGATCCTTGCCAGACCCTTGAATTTGCAGGCTAAAAGTTAAAACTATTTGATTTTCACCCTGTAAAACCACTAGGCATTACATTTTCATGAGTATATAATATTGAAGAGTTCAAGAGTTCTTGTATGCTTTGTGGAATTATGACATTTCTTGACTATGGTGCTTGCTAGTATTATGAACAACTTTTTTTCTCCTTTCCTTTTTTCATTTTAAAAGGTTTATCATCCCTTTTTACCCGCAGCTATATTATTTGATAAAAAATGCCCAAACTAATGTCCTAAGTTTACCAGAAGCTCTTCACAAGTACATGTATAAGTAAGAATGATCATTACAGCGACCATGTATGCGAATTAATACAAACAGACATCATTAAAACTTACTGGTGAGCCAAAGTTATGGCCAGCTTCATGTGCAAAGGTGATCTCAGAGACTTTTCGTAACACTTTCTTGTTATAATTGACAAATGTGACAACTCCAGTGTTCAAACTTTTTGTTTTGCCATCTCTAAATGAAGTAGCCTTTTCACAAATCCCCCCTGCAGCTCCACCTTATGATAAATGAAAAATAAATAACACTTATACCTGAGAAGGTAAAAAAGCAATGAAGCATGTACAGCACTGACCTAGCTGTGGTCATTTGAAACATTTAGACAACAAGAGTGAACAGAATAGCAGCTTTTATTTCAGGATTCCTCTACATGTTTAAATTTCAAGTAAAAGAGGCTACTGTAACAGTATTATAAACATGTTGTAGTACATCGATTTTGTAAGAAATCCAATAAACGGATGCTGATGTGAAAGAGTCTTTGGATTTATCAAAGTGATCAGCCATATTGATGGTTTGGTATTACTATAACCATGAGCCCCTCAATGTTATGTCAAAATTTACGTGCTCTGAAATGTATTGTAAAGTAGTAGGTGGTACTGTTGGTTCCAAATATCAAAGATTTTTAGCTGAAAACAGATGTAATGTCATGCAATACTCAACAATGCCCTTAACAGGTACTGTTAGTGGAATTAGGGGGTCACATTCATGTACAGCATGTATCTTACCCAGGCACTGTAGCAACTGGCATAGGGATAGAGTTACATAACCAACCCTTAATATAAAAGTTCTTATTACCTGCTTCACCAACCCATGCAAGTCCTAACACACCATCTGCAAAATCTCTGTAGGTAAAAATGTATGACAGGCATACATCATCATGGTTCTCCTCAGAGTTCAGCTCAAGGAGCTTTTCCACTCCAATGTTGCTATCTCTGTAAGGGTTCCCTCCATCATTTGCTTCAGCAGTCCCATTGGCAAACATTCTCTGGATTTGAAATTCAATGCCTGATAGGAAAAAATTTGCATTGCATTTTAAACCAAGCCCAATCTCTAAATACTTCTTACTGGCAACACAAGAAGATCATCAGCCTCATTTGGTCAGTGGTCATTTTTGTCAGTGCATGCCCTTGTAGAACATTGTCATTAACTATCTAACAGCTAGATCTTTGAGTTCTAAGATGTAAGCAGCTTTGAAGGAGTTGCTTATTAGCAGTCTTTCATGCTTTTGTGTTTATTTTTCTTTAATATCACACTGTCACTTTCCCCTCAATTGTCTGAATGTATGTTATGTCTTGAGAGGTCCCTTACAACTCCAATAACCATCACCAGCAACTCAATATGTTTCAATCTTGTTTATGTTCAGTCTTTTCTTTTTGTGTTTGTTTTATTTCCAGGTGAACAAAATGTTGTTTCTTTTCACCTCCTTATGATTCCAGGTCACCAAATAGTGAATTTGAACAACAATGAGCTTGTAGTCTGCACTCAGGATGATACATGTCAGTTGTCTTATTAGCATCATCTAACTTCAGAATGAACAAGTAAGTGGTGTAGTAGGGTATATATATTAAGTGATTACTTTACCGTCAGCTTTATTATCATCACTGAAGTCTGTGTTTTTGAAAATAGAATTTGCAGCCTTGACATGTTCTGCCATCAGTAACATTGCTCTCTCCTTATTTCCACCAGCCATGTTTTCTGTGAACAAATGATCGGCCTGCAAAGCAAGGGAATCATTTTTAATGAAAGCTGCAAAAAGAGACATTTTTCCTTTTTGTTTAAATATGAAAGGAAGCTGATTTTTATTCTTGAAAGTTTTGATAGGTTTAGGCAAATTAAGCTTAGAAGCTCAAAGATTCATTCTGTCTCACCTCATCCCAGTTTTAGAAGCTCAACAACACTAAAATAAGTGTGCTATAACTCCTTGAACAGGATTTCTGTCCATTTCATGGCTACCAATTCTCTTACAATATACTGGTATTAAAAAATTTTCAACTCCCTCTTGCAGAGAGGCACTGTAAGGATTACATGTAAGGGTAACCTCTTGATTACTGGAAATTTGTATTTTCCTTTTGAATTTGTCAGAATTCCAAAATGATCTTGAACTGCAACACCAACATGCACAGGTAGTGCATCAATCATAAAGCACATGTACATGAAACTACCAAAAAAACACTATCAATGTCAATCACTGTAAAGTGATTGTGTTTTGGTAAGTTTTTTGTTGTGATATTATATTTTGGAAAAAGTATAATAAGCTTAGGATATAGAATTATATTACATGAGACAATTAATTGGCAATGTTACAACCAGCTATTCTCCTCTAACAAGTAAAAGGTTAGTTACTCAGAAAAGTACATGAGCAGTTGCCAATATTTTTAAAAGGAGATTTAGATTTCAAGACTTGTGGCAACTGATGCAACAACTGAACACAAGGAAAAATACCGAAGGTGTTTTGATCAAGAAACAAACACCTCATGAATCGGATCCTTAATTAAAAGACAAAGTACACTTGAACTGTTATGTGATTAGCTTCCTTTATTGTAAAGAACAATGCTATTTAAAATAATACTAACAGACTCACTACTTCAATCACTGTTTGACAAAATAACTAATCACATTTCAGGAAACCCCGATTTCAATCAATTTAATTCAATTACAGTAATTAGTTCTTAGGAATAAAGCAAGCAAAGATGAAAAAAGGCTTTAAAACCATAATGGAATTCATGGCTCACTTCCTGTAATTGGATAGGTCAGGGCTGTGTAACTGACCCTTGTAACTACTTTGTAGTACTTCAACATTAAAATAACACAATCAGTGGACCTAGATTCCCATTTGTGTGACATCAATTGAACAATTTACTCACTTGCATCTTCAAAGTACAAGACAACTTTTTGGGATCAATGTCTCCTGCTGCCCTGCGATATCTGTATAGGACTGGTTCATATTGGGTGTGATCCTCCTTGACTGCCACCTTCCCTGTCACTGCTGACCTGGTTGAGTCAATCAAAAAGCAAAAATTGAGAATCAAAGAGGTTCTGACTGTCAGTTTGCTCTTGATTTCTTCAAATCAACACTTCTTTGTGTTGAATTGTCAAATATACAATATCATATTTTTATATTGTTTATCTAAAATTGGTTTCTCTTGCATGACAAAGATGCTGGGAGCAGGTTCAAATACATGTATTACTGATACATGTACATGTATATGAACAGTTTCCAAAATAATTCAGAAATTCCTTTGATTTGTTTTGAAATAAATAATGCCAAAATGTTAAAGGTCCCTGGTATCAATTCTCTCAATCAGTCTACATGTATTATTCATCACTCATCTCAGTCTAAAACCACAAATAAAGAAAGGCAGCCCACAAGTGAAAAATGCTGAGAAATTAGCAAAGTCTATCACATGTAGCTTAATGTATTGGCACTGACATTGATATACAAAAGTGATAAGTAACAACTAGTGAGTCAAATGAGTATGATTGATATCCCACACTTCCCGTGTTATAAAGATGTCTCTATTTAAGTGTACAATTTATATGTACCTTTTAACTTTATCCATCCACTTCTTGGTTTTCTCTGATACTCCACAACCTGGACCATAGGCATGAGGATAATTCACATCTCTGCTTTTATAAATAACCGAGTGGAAGTCATTGGGCTCATCCTTGAAATATTCCTTGGCGGACTCCACAAAATACTCGTCATCTCCTACATGAATTTTACCCTCGAAGACGCCATCATCAGAAATAAAACCATGAACAAGAGATTTCTTGTGTCCTGATTGTAAAACAAGAAAAAAAATTATGTTGTCAGTGCATATCAAACAAAATCCATAAAGGCATTTGCCCATGTAACTGAAATTATGTGATTTCACACACTCAAATACACACACAATAAACAAATCATGCAAGTGAGCCACTAAAATACAAATGTAGATTGTAGAGGTGAAAGTGGAGAGATGCAGTCTCTATTTTCCAACCTGAATGACCACTAAATACCCTTTGAAGCTAACTTCTCTCCTAAAATTATTCACATTGCAGTTTGTCTGTGATGAACTTGCATAGAGTTGTCAGTTTTTAACACACGCTTCAAAATGCAGGAAAATTAAAGCACAAAGAGTCCACACAAGTTGATTTACACAAATTGTACTGGTACAAGAGTGCTACAAAATTTTAAATTGATTGAAGTTTAGGTAAGGTTAAAACTAATGCTATACGGCTACTTTTATGGATGGGATTTGGTGTGCCCCAAGGAATTTGGAAGGGAATTGATGGGTACTTATGCTCAATTTGACCATTCCCCAACCAACTCTTTGGGTGTTAGTTGACTGATTTGACAAGTGCCTGAAGAAGTGATCCTGCTTGGTTGCCATAAAGACTAACTTCTAGCTAAGGAGACTGTTGCCTTCTTTCCTCTAAATACTGTTGTTGATTATAAGTAACACAGCATTTTACAGCATATGCAATGAGGTTCTTCAGACACTGATAACACACAACTTTCAAGTACCTTCTACATCCCCTGCAACCACTTTAGCAGGATCAAAGTAAGCATCTGCACTAAAGTCATCTGTAAAAAGTTCTGTATCCCTTCTGAGACGAAGCTTAAAATCTCTGTGACAAGAAAACCATATTCAGAGTTTATATAAAACAACTGTAAAATATCAACCCTGCAGACCAATCAACTTGGGTCTTAACAAGGATTGCTTTACAGAAAGGATGGCTGATCCAACATGATTACCTTTTTCATATAATAACTTTAAACTTACAAATTTGATTGTAATGAGTGACCTTTTTCAGCAATTCATCCTCATTAAATATAAAACCAAGTGTTATCTAAAGAGGGTCCCAAATGGTAGTGTATTGCTTAGCTGTCAGGTGAGCTGTCACTTGCATTATTTGCAAGGACATATTCTCTAACACATGCCCATACCTAAAGCCCTTTTCACACTTGGTTGTGGCCAAGTCAACCTCAATATCATTCAGTTCGCATTAACAACAAAATAATTGTGGGCATTAAAACTTGAGAAACATGCTTTCTACTGTGCATGCTTCATTTCATTAAGTCATCTGAAGGGCAGAGTTGTAATTTTACATGACCCTTCAAGACCAGCAAAATAATATATTTGTAAGCTAAATTATAAGATGACTTCTGTATGGGGAAGTAGACAGATGTTATTAGCCAAATGATTTTATCTGAAGGTACTTGCATGTTTCCAAATTAACAATGTACAATACCCTGAGGAATGTTTAAAGATGCATGCTCTTTGTTAATCCAAAATTACTTCATATAGTGAAAGCCTTATGTGAGAGACATGACTTAAATGGGGTCTGCAAGAAGAAAAGAGGTCACCCTTGGCCTATGTCCGTGAAAAATCAAGTCCGAGTGTTCTTAACTACCAGAGCTAAAAAAGTCTAAAAAAGTATAATAGCACTCCGTATGGGGAACTACTCAAGGTTTACTAAGAAGAAAGACATAACACACCTCAAATTATAACACGGATTGCTGTGCTCCTATGCTCAAGGGACCTCCCTTGTATTATGCTTTAGCTTTTGTGTTAAGTCAGTTTTGAATAAAAGAAAGTATGACTTTGGTTCTAATAACATAAAGAATTTAATTCCTCACATTGTTTATATACAATCGAAGCTTTAGTTAGGAGACAAGTAAGACGGGAGATGTAATCGCAGCCCTTCTTTCAGCATGTAACTTGGAAACGACTTTAAAGTTATTTGCGTCTTTGAAGTGTTTCTACTAGATCAAAATTCCCTGGAATACGACTTAGACGTTGGTTCTTACCTCTGTTTAGTTTTTAAGTGTAATTCAACCACATGATCGCTGTTTGGACTTGAACGCCTCACTCGACCGTGTTGCTGGACAACTGGAGCCGTGTCATAATTTAAAGTCTCGTAGTGGTTTATAAAATCTCCCAGCGGCCGTCCTATTAAACCCAAACACCGACATTATGTGGGAATTCATATTTCAAAGGAAATGCAGTTTAATACGAAGGGATGAAAAAACCACAAACAAATTTCAACTTACGATATGCCACAACATAACTTGTGAGGAGTATGAGAGAAGCAAAACAAACTTGTGAAGCTGCCATGGTTCGTAACCGCGAGGTTCCCGCACGAGAAGGCGCAATATCAAAGGTCCTGTCAATATATAAGGTTCTATGTTGATCTTAAGAAGACTGCAGTTTCTAAGTCTGAAGGAATGGCGGTGAAAGATATATAATTTTTCAAAATTCGAAATCTCAACTCATTCTCACTCCCTTGGGAATAATGCGCATGATCACGATCGTAAGCAGCTATGACGTCATACTTCGATAGTGTTATTCTCCATAGTTACTTCGTAGAAAACAAAAAGAACTTCCGTGATGCGGGCCCCTCCACAATATATCAACTAATGAAACATATATTGGACTGTTTCTTCAAGTGTGCACCATGAGAAAATACGTTCTGAACTACAACAGGCATATTATGATTCCTAAAAGTTTTCTTTTAGATCAAAATGTTCCTAGAAATTCCGTAATGGTCATTGATTTGAAAGCCGTTCGAGTGTCTCGATTTCAAACCGTTACGTCGTGGGTTAAGCATTTTGACGGTCTAAAATCAGCGCGTAAAAGGCAATAATCACACTTTAACGAAAAAAAAAAAGGAGTTCTGTCACACTGGTCTGACTGAGTCTATTGTAACAATAACTTCTCTCCTCTATGTCCTGACATTTTTTTCAAGCTGTAATAAAATGTCGACAGATCTTTAATCCCTGAATAGTTCACCCTTAAGCTGCTCCAATACCCTTGGATTATGTCTCTGGTCAATGGTTGATCCCTGTCCACCATTTTAGCCCATCTGAGATATGAAATATTCAAGGATCTGACAGAACAGGACAATCCGATTGGCTAAGTTGCCATGTTGTTTACCCTGATCTACCCTAAATGCCAAATTCATACTTTCTTTTTTACATATGCGTGGTTTACACGACTCAAGAGCAGTTTTCGCATTCGAGTCAACAGATCGATTAAAAGTACTGTGCGGTCTAAATTAGAAATTCCCACTTACAAGAACACTGTCAAACCAAAGATGTCTATTATTTCCCTGTTTTTCGTATTGGTAAAAGGTACTGCCACCAGAAACAAGAGAACTCATTCATACGCTCCTATACACTCCACGAAACTGTAAGCTGTTGCAATAAGCGATCTCTAGTGCACTGACACCTAAACAAATTACAACAAAACTGGGACAATCATCTTCTAAAAGCACTAAAACAATTTTTTATTTGATCATTGTAACTGAACATTCTTTTAAACTCTACGCCATAATTGCCTTATTGAAAACGAAATTTCAGTCACAATTCTTAAAAAACCCTTTTTTGTTAAAAAAATGGTTTTAATATTAATTCATATCGATAAAAAATGAACCAAGATCTCATCCCTAAGAATGGCATCTAATGCCTCATTAACGAAATTCCAAAATTGTGAATTCAACTAATAAACTTTTAATTTTATAATATCATTTAAACTGGATAACTTCGGGATTTGGACTTCAACTTGAAAAGTTATCCTTTGCTGAACGACCGCTAGATTAAAATCTCTCCCAAAATAAGAACGACTCAGGAAAACTGCCATGACAAGAAAACAGGATCATTTCCTTCAATTGTAGAAAAATACAATTCGTTATTTCGCAAATGGATTCTAACTCTTCGACCTTCTTGAAGCTGCCTTGCCGGATCGCGTCTTTTGTTCATGACCACTGGATAGTGAAGCCTTTGTCCATGGGTAGCTTAAGATCGGTTACTCTAACCACCTAACCAGAAAAAAACACAACAATAGTAAAGCAGTTAGACACTCAATCCTCCTGCTCTTCTGTAAGTCAATCCGTTGGTCGTTCAATCATCCTATTGCTCAGCGAGTTACTAAAAATGTAAGCCAATCTGTTAAACCACATGCACATTTCTTCACTTCTCGAAATATGTGTGAGGCTAAAAACTTTTCATAACTTTAGAAAAATGCTTTTTACTGGCCAACAACACCAGCCCAATAACTCTATTTTTCCTGGCACTGATGGACTCAGTTACAAGAATTATTTCTTCATTATAATTGGTTACCACTACATCCCATGATAAGATGTCCGAAATTTTTTTACTTAAAGTTACTCACAGTACCAAGCCAAGAGCATAATGCAGTGAACTTTGACCGTTTAATCTCGAGTCAAACACGTCAACCATTACTCGTCAAATCTTTACCTTCTGTTGACTTTTTTTTGAGAACTTACTCAAGGAAAACGTACGGTGCATAGTGAATTATATGAACAGAATTTAACAAGCAAAGAGACCCAGTGCGCACAAAACTGTTAGCTACAAGTACTTCTTAACTTTTTAGTCTCTAACATCAGTTTTTGTATTCTCCATACTGTTCTCTTTAACTGTTTCATTCAGCAATGACACTGTATGGAGAAATTGGATCTTAATCACTAGGGGTTAATAAATAACCTTAGTTGAGGCGCTGTAGGAGAAGCTCTCTATCGGATGATCATTCACAGTAACGGACTTGGGAGCTGATGAGACACCAAACACTCCCAAATTCATCAGTAGTGGTTCAGGATGGTACGAACTCTTGGGGTCCACTGTTGCCTTAAGCGTCCCCTGCAGGAAATATTCAATTGAGGAATTGCATTGAGGAAAGATTGAAACAAACTTTGCGCCAAAGCCGAGTATCATTTCCAAAGAGAAGAAGAATATTCATGAATCATAAAATACAAAATCAAAGAAAAGTGTTGAGTCTTGAATATTGATACCATAACACTGTTTCGATGTCTTCTCCTATTTCACTGAACAAATTGTAAGGCAGCGGAGGTGTACTCGGCAGGAAAATAAACAAACTCTTCTATAGTCAAAAATTAGCAGAATCCACAAAATAGAGCCTTCAACTCGCATTAACGGCGCATATTATTCGAGTCGAGCAATGGTATCGGAAGATATATAAATTTTAACCGAACGGGGGGTGTTAAAAATGATTACTTACCAAAAGCTTTTAAAGGAGGGAAGAAAGGGAGGGACAAAGGGAGCAAAAACAAAGAGCAATGACACCCTCCCCCAAACATCCCGCTAGTGAAACTGCTGCATTCGCTTCATTTAACCTTGCCTTTATTATATTTCGCCTCATTTAAATGAATTACTCTCTACGCACTGACCTCGGAAACTGCATATATCACGTATAAATATGGAGCACTGACAATAGGATCTGGAACGAAAGAAACAATTAAAATAATCACCTAAGAATGACATGGTGGCTGGTGAGATCAAACAGCTCAGCAGAAAAAAAACTATTTCATATGAAGTTTAACAAGAGGCTCAACCGAGAAGACTTGAACGCCAGGTTTGCTGTTTAGTCAGGCCGACTCTCAGCTGCTCCGGTTAGCATGATTAGCACCAAGACCAAGCCTGAGGTGACTTACCAATAAAAATGATATTCATAGCACTCAAAAGCATACAACAAGCACATGATGTGTACTACCTGCGCTGAACTAGGGACTACTTTGCTTTCTTATTGGTAGGACGAACTTCCTTTTGTTCAAACCTTACCCAGAGACTCTCCATCATCATAAAACAGGTCTCCCATGGCCTCCCCGGACGACGACAAACAGACGGTCAATTGGAATGGATTCTGACGGCTGCGATACAAATAAAAGAATCGAATAAATAGACAGACAAACACAGCAATAAACAGAAAAAGCCTTGAACCAACAATTGTTGAGGATTACGAGGAATTAATTCTAAAAAAATTGGCATTAATTCCAAAAAATTGGCATGAAGTTGTCGCGCTGACGCCGAGCAGTCCCGCTTTTGGGCGAGGTCCATCGCGCGAGTCCAGAAATAAAACAATGTCAGTGAAAATGCCAGAGTTCCGCGCGGCGCGCTAACTTTTTTCGATGACTTCGCGAGAAGGAGGTGTTCGTAATCTATTGTCACGCATATTGCGCTGCGTTACCTGTAATATGTGGTGATGTTTGGCATTTGCGTTGGTATCACGTATCCTCCTCTGAAGTGAAAATTGATTTTATCCCAGGGGGCGGATAACGTGTGAGTCTTACCCCCTTGTGTCTGTAGAATAGAACCATCTGTTCCATCATACCAGGTGGCATCTGGAAAATAGCCAGTGACGGATGTAGATCCCTTGAAATAAATAAATAAATCATATCACGTGCTTAATTATTGAATTGTGTGGGTGTTTCCCTTCTAAATACATTATAAGTTGTTTTAAATGTGGATGAATGTGACCGATTCAAAAGAAACTGGAAGAGAATCATGAACACTAAAGTTGATCACGTGCACATACCTGTGTTAAAACGGGTGTTATCAGCAAGGCTGGACCAAGGAGGAACTGCTTGTCAATAGCATATGTCTGACTGTCACTTGGAAATCTAGACATATCGGGAAGGAAAGAGGGTCAGATTTCCATTTGATAACAATTTAAGGAATGAAGTTCGGGGAAACTTTGAGGGCCGATTATTTACACGAGGTCTGACTCAGACCGCGGTTTTACGCACGCAGTGGGCTTCAGGGATTCTTCATAAGAGAGTTAATTTCATCAAATAAATGTCCTTAGCTTCCGGCCCTCGTGACACTGTTCACAGAAATAAATGTTCAGATTAAAGGTTCGGCTAAATTTAAGATGAGACACAAAAGAGAGAAGTAAAGGGGGCATTCACATCTGACTGGCGTTAAAAAAAATGTGAATGAATTAACAGTAATTGTGAAATATGAGTCGAATGTTTTGGATCGAAACATAAGCCTCATTCCTCAATTTTCACACAATCGTAAGTGACACTGATACTGCAAGCAAACCTGTCGTGAGAGCAATTTTGGTATTCAGTGTTTACTTACTCGTAAAAAAGAGGCCTAGCCACGGCACTTCCTCGCATGTGCGAATGCGCAAACAACGTGTACAAATACGGCAACAATGCATAACGGGTTAGTAACACGTCACGTGCCATATGCGCAAAGTCGTCTCCAAAGGCAGCAGGGTCCTGAGGCTAAGAACAGAAAAAGAAAATATGTTTCGACTGAGAAAAGGGATTGTTGTGTAGTTGGGGACCAGTCATAATTTAGCGCAGGGGGAGAGGGGGGGAAGGGGAGCGGTGGAGGATTTTCTCATGATCCCTCTTTTCCTTATGAACCCCCACAGGGCTCTGTAATATTCTTATGATCCTATGGGGGGAGTAGGTAAATATTATCGTGACCAAACCAAAATCCGCCAGCTCCCTTCCCCCTTCCCCAATTAATTTCCAATTAACAATTTTACAAACGATTCCTGATGATGACGAATTCATAGTTCCTTTCGGTAACATGGAAAAAGGACTGATTTTCTTGGAAATCCAAATCAGATGGTCGTTATATTTCATTAAACTAAATCATATCAATCCAACACCTTTCTTGTCTGTTGCGAAATGTTATAAAACAATGAAATGGAAGAAAAAAAAATTCATTCATTCATTCGTGTTCATATTCATAACCCACCTCGAGCTTGCATGACAAAGGGAAGGATATGCTGATCAAGAATCTGAGTCAACTGTTCTAAACAATGGTGCCATATACATTGGTAACATCGACATCACAAAAGGAAAGTGTTAACCGTCTTTCCTTATAAAGGGGGCCAAGATCGACAGATAAACAATTTCTTATTTACTTGAAATTGCATTTTTCTCCGACTTTTTCAAAGATGTAAACTTCC